TTAACTACACCAGTGTTTCATTATTCCTCCTTTTTCTGACTTTATTAGTAGAGGATCATGGCGGCAAAAAGGAGGTAGATAGATAAAAGATACAAAGGCAGATTACCTTCAATAATGGATTGCCCTTGGGTTGGTCGAAAGTCTTGGGCACCTGCAGCGCATCCAAAACATACAAAAAAGCTTCCCGAAAGGTTAAACAAACAGTCACGGGTCCCTTGTGTAAGGATAAGACCACCCATCTTTTTGATATTCGTCTGGAGACGTTCAGTCTTGAGCAGCTGGAGCTCTGATGGGCCTGACTAGAGAAGTGTATACGAGCATATGGAGCCACCCCTAAAGTGTACCAAAGTATCAGGTATCAACTGCTTCCCAAAGACAAACAAGAAAATTTCAGCCAAAGACTTTGTACCATAGTAACCAAATTAACCAATAAACCATCCATGCCTATCATTACCGTCCTTCTTCTCTGGCTAGACCTAGTCAGGCCATAGTGAGGAGGACCGCCCTGCAGCTCATTGCCCTTCTGGGCTGATGCGCCATCGACCCAGGCTGCATCCACTCACCCCCCTCCTTTCACCCCTTCTCCTTCTTTTTCTTTCTCTTTTTTCTTTCCTCTCCCTCCCTCTCTTTCTTTCTTCTCTTCTTCTCCTCTCCATTCCATTCCTGATAACTAAGCTATCGCGCTTTTGTTCGTTCCCACGAACCTTTCTACCCATTCTTCCCTTGTGATACCCGAGCTATTCTTTGCCTTGTGCTGAGAGAGCTCCTGTTTCCTTTCTTTTGAGATACCCCCCTTGAGATACCCATACTCGACCTTGATACCCGAAGCGCTTATAGCTTCTCTAACGGCTACTTAATCAAATTCACTACCATAATAACCTTTTAATCAACCATCCTCACCATGTCGGAAGTCCAGAAGCCTGTTGAGGAGACCCCCGTGGCCGTCCCTGTCGTCGAGCCTGTCGTCGAAGCTCCTGCTGCCGCTGAGGCCGCTGCCACTGAGGCTCCCGCTGCTGAGGCTCCCAAGGAAACCCCCGTTGAGAACGCCGAGGCCACTCCCGCTGTGGCTGAGACCACCGAAGCGCCTGCCGAGCAGCCCAAGGAAGAGGCCAAGGAGGAAATCACTCCTGCGACTGAAGGTGTGCTCGGACACAAGGGACCTGGTCTGGTGAAGTAAGCGCTACTTGCGAACCTTCGGATGCCGATTTGAGGCGATGGCTGACTTGTTACTTTTTGCTCAATAGGGGTCTGCGTTTCTCCAAGCGATTCTTCTACTTCAGCAACGAGCCCGTCGAGGCCAAGCACCTGTCCGTCTTCCAGCAGAACGAGAAGCCTGCTGTCGCCAACCCCATCGTCGCTTGGGCTACCCAGACCGGCAAGGGTCTCCTGTTCCTGACCAAGCGCGCTGAGGACAAGGCCACCCCCGCTGGTATCTTCAACTTGGTAAGCTTTTTTTTTTTTTTTTTTGACATAGCATGGATATCCGTACTAATACTCTTTAGGCCGAGATCTCCGACCTTGCCAAGGAGGGCACCAACGAATTTCTCTTCAAGGTTAACGGCCAGAAGCACACTTTCCAGGCTGCTAACGCTGCTGAACGTGACAGCTGGTTCGTTGCTCTCGAAGCCAAGGCCGCTGAGGCCAAGGCTGAAAAGGAGACCATCGTTGCCAGCGAGGGCTACAAGGCTGAGCTGGAGAAGCTGAGTAAGTAACGTTTGATCGAGTTGTTGAATACGGATCAATTCTAATCTTGTTGCAGCCAAGCCTGTTGTTGTTGCTGAGCCCGTCAAGAAGCCCGCTGAGCCTAAGGAGGAGGCGAAGAAGGAAGAGGCTGCTCCTGTTGAGGAGGCTAAGGAGACCAAGGAGACCACCGAGGCCAAGGACAAGGCCAAGAGCCGCTCTCAGTCTCGCAAGAGGGCCAGCATCTTCGGCTCCTTCCTCGGCAAGAAGGAGGAGACTGAGGAGAAGAAGGAAGAGAAGACCGAGGACGCCAAGCCCGCCGAAGCCGCCGCTGAGCCTGTCGCTGAGTCCTCCGCGACTGCTGAGGCTTCTGAGGGTATGTTTCATCAACGTTCAAAATCTGTCACGAAGCCGAAAGCTGACTATCATCAAGCTCCCGTTGTTGCTGCTGCTCCTGCCGAAGAGAAGAAGGAGGAGACCGAGGCAAAGAAGGAGGAGAAGAAGGCCGAGAGCCCCGCTCCCAAGTCCAAGCGTACCTCTCTGTTCGGTAACTTCTTCCAGAAGGTCACCAGCCCTTCCCACGAGAAGTCCGAGAAGGAGGCTGCCGCTCCTGCTGAGACCTCCGCTGTCTCCAGCACTGCTCCCCAGCTGGAGAATCCCGTCGAGGAGGCTGCCGTGAAGCCCATCGAGCCCGAGACCGTGACTTCTGCCGCCGCTGCCACTGAAGCTCCCAAGGAGACTCCCGCCCAGTCTCCCACTGCCGAGACTCCTGCCGGCAAGGACAAGCGTCGCACCTCTTTCTTCGGTAACTTTGGCAAGAAGAAGGGCGACTCTGACAACGAGGGCACCGACGGCGAGACCAAGGCCAAGGGCAACAAGCTCGGTGGTCTTTTCCGCAAGCCCAGCAAGGCCGTGAAGCTCGACAACAAGGAAGCACCTGCGGCCAAGGAGGCTGAGGACAAGGCCGAGCCCACCGCTGAGGCAGCTCCCGCCGAGGAAGCTGTCAAGCCTGCTGAGGCCCCCGTCACCGAGGAGGCCACGCCTGCGACTGTCGCTGCTACTCCGGCTGCCGTCCAGGCTGCAGCATGAAGTGCTCATTCTCAGAGGCGTGTCGTCGAGTTTGAGAAGTGGTGGGATCAACGTTATGCGTCTCCCAACGCCTCTGCATGCTGTTGAATCATTACCATGACGGAAAACGAAAACGAAAAAGTGTTCAGAAAAACCCTCAAAATATATTTCAAAAAAACGTATATGTCCATCCGGTCTGCCTTTTTTTGCTGTCATCGAAATCGCTCTATATCGTTTCCGCAGGCACTCCTTGGCCAACCTCGTTGCTGACTGGTCTAACGAGAATTTGGGGCAAGGAATGTCAATGATACCCACATGCTGCTTTGGCGGTCATTTCTCACTGCATCGACGTCACCGGTGCATTTCGTTCCTTAATGATATCCATTCGCGCAGGTTTATCCTAACCGAGGCTTGCGTGTGTTCATGTTTTGCGCCGTGCAACTAGATTGATACCACTTGCTGTCTTGCTTTGATGTTTTTGGTTGATCTACGATCACTAGTTTGATACTTTTGTGTTGATACCCGAAGGGGAGGACTGGATTTGGTGGCTTCAACTCAAATCGAGCCCGATTGTTGACTGTTTGCTTGGAGCGTGTACGCCATGTATACTTGCGCACCGCATCATAGTAATAATTAATAGAATCAATAATGCGTTTTGTATGTTTTCGGCAGTTTCTAGTAGACCCCGAGCTTGACAAATCAATTCCGAATTTGCACGTGAGAAGTAGCAAATGAATCCAAGGTGCTCCATACCCTGCTCCCGAACTTCAAAGCAGGTAAACTAAGTTTTTCTGTCGACGGGGCTCAATTGTGGGCCAAACCGCCATGGACGACGTAGAGAACAATTCCTCGAGATTCAAACTCAATTACACTTTTGGAAGTTTCGATTGTCCCCTGTCCCGTGTGCCGTGGAGATGAGATCACTGAATGCAGCGCCTCCTATCGATTATTAGACAACACGCAGGATGATTACAACCTCCGGTCGACAAGGGCAGATGACATCGGAAACGGTCAAGGGAACAAAATGTTGGCGAGTGTCGCCGACATCTACGGCGATTCCCGGTAGGGAGGATCCGTAGGCTCGTGCATGGGTCTTTCACTGCAGAGGTGGATTTCCGCGAGGTGCAGAATGTGGACATTGGACGCGATTGACCCGAGGGTTATTCTAGACTATTTGGCTTCGCTTGGTGAGAATCCGACCCTCCTTGGCGAAGGTTTCGTAGGAAGCTGGTACAGAGCAAGGTAGTGATACGTATGGTACTTTTCTCAAGGCCAGAAAGTTAGGAGGAATATATATAAGGCACAGACAGCTGTCCTTTCCTCTCCAAACGGTTGAGCCAGTTGTGCTTCAGAATGCGTGAGAGGAAATACTCGCTACTACGCCGTACTCAAAAAAGATTCTGGAAACGAAATCAACGGACTGTGCGCGGGCTGATAGAGTTTGGGCTTGCGGAGATAGTACAACGAAGTCCACGCCCTTTGATGACACCAACTCCCGAATGGGCAACAGGTGGGTGAAACCTGAGTTGGCGGGGAGAGAAAAGGGAAAGTGATGTGAGTGGAATAAGCCGACCGATCCCCGGTTTTCCTGTTTTTCTGTCCTTTTTCCTCAGCTCCCTTATTAATCCAATTTATTGTCTAATGCTCTGATTGGTTTATCTGGCGATGGCGTGCTGAGACATGAGGCTCCCAGGCCACCAGGCTGCCAGGCATGAGGGCTCAGCCCCCCGTGCCTTGTGACTTGGACTGATTTAACGGCTTGCATATGCCGTCTGGAGTGTGGAGTAGATAGGTCTATGGGCCCGTGGCTAAGATGAAACTGGCTTTATATGACGGACACGAAGCTGCGGCTTGCGTGGATTCACCAATGTAATATTAATGAGACAGTTTAGGGAGGCTGTGATGAGACCGGCTTTCTTAGTGCTGTCGTAGAATTGATGCCTGGATTCTGGACGCGATGTTGCGCCATGTTATTGGACAATGGGTTCGTGAAGAGGTACCTGTTGACTGGTACCGAGTACGCGGCGGAGTTAAGGATGGCGCTCCGTATTGCGAGGGACCCAGACCAGAGAATTTCCAGCGTCATGGAGTCGTCATTCCAGGACTGTCAATTGCCAATTGATGGATTGTAGTAATACTGATAATCCTCTTCGTACGTAGTGTTTGATGAACTGGAATTATGAGCTCAATTGAAGGCATCTTTGTGCCGCTCCCTGCTGGACAGGTACGTACCTGAAAGTACCTGCACAGGAATGCCGCCCTGGGGCGTGTTTCCGCGGGCCCGACGGTCCAATCATAGCGGCACATGGTCCTATGACTCACACCTGCTGACTGCGTCAAGGAGCGCTATCCCGACACGGTTAGTGCTCGAAGTGGGACATTGTTGCGGCGCCATTGGCTGCTGCCGGAAACGCACGGCGCACACACACAGGTTAGGCTAACCAGACACTGGCACACTCGAAGGTTTTAAGAAGTGCCTGATTTCCCGTCGCTGCCTGGCGCTTTCCTTTTCCCTTTTCCTTTTTCTCCTCCATCTTTTCTTACTCTCAAACCATCATCACCTATTATATTTATAAAACATCTTCACCATACAACCACACAATCATCAAGAATATCCGTGTCAGTATCCATTGCAAAATGGCTTCCTTTTAAGCTCCTCGCCCAGAACGAGCTCGTCTTTCTCTCGTGAGACAGACACCATAGATCCTTCACGGTCTTCGTCACTTTCCAACATCTCCTCTCAACCTTTCTCAGAGTCTCCTGTCCCAGGACCTCTGAACTTAAGCACCGCTTCGCGTAGCTCAAGTTCTCTGAACAACATTCTCCCGTTCGACGTCACGTCGTTCACCACGGATAACCACCAGCAATCATGGCTCCCCACGCCCCCGCCCCAGCAGCCTACGGCTCAGAATCTGAATTCGAATTCCAACAACGACAGCAACAGTTCCCCGCAGGAGGACTTCGTGCTCTATCCCGCCCCGTGTCCGCAGCCTCGTGTGAGAGACTCGCGTGCGCCAGTACTTCCGAGTACAGCCCCTAGATCTGTTTCATACAATCCTTTCCTGGTCCGATCTCAGTACCAGCAGCCCCGACGGCACTCGCTCAGTCTGTATCAACAGCTACAGCAACAAAAACTTTCGGGTTCGCCTGTCCAGGTTCCTCGTGTGACCAGGCTTCACTCACAGTCTACCGGGTATTCTCTGTCCTCGTCTCTTCGGTCTAGTCCCTCCAGCCGGACGCACTTTCAGCGTGTCCACGCCGCGTCTGCGCCTTCGAATTCACCAAATCCCAACCGTCCTCCTGTTCCATTGTTTTCAGCAGCCAACGGCACTCAATTCACTCAAAAACAGCTCCATCAATTACAACAGTTTTATCACCGCCGCATCATGTCGACCCCCAACATCGCTCAAGGTGAGCTGGTAGAAACTACATTGGCTTCGACTTGGTCTAATTCCGCAGCAGATATGCCTGACTTCTTCGGTCTGCCCTCGAATGACTTTGGGGATGATTTCGAGTTGAGCACTGAACCCACCATGCTCTCTCCCAATCAGATCCCCACTGGCCTCATGGCTGTCAAGGACTCTCTGGCAGGTGCCCCTTCGGGCACCATCTCTCCCAAGGACTTGTTCATGGATGCGTCGGCACCCCCGTCGACCTCATTCACTGATCTCAGCACTCCTTCCTTCGAGTCTCCTGGTTATTTCAGCCAGGACACCTCGCCCATGTTCCCCACCGATCTAGAGCTGGGCCCTGGCTCCGAGGAGTGGGGCCCACTCTTCCCTGCTCAAGATGACTTCTCCACGGCTTTCGACTCCGCTGCCTTGGATGTTGCACTCGCTCTCTCCCAGCCCGAGCCTAAGCCCGCAGAGGTCTCTGTTCCTCCTTCTCCTGCGGTTCGCAACTCTGCTTCGCCAGCTCCTTCTCCTGCGCCAAGCAAGTCGGGTGTTAAGCACTCGACCGTCGCCGGTGTCAATGCTCGTCAACGCAAGCCGTTGCCCCCTATTAAGGTTGACTCCAGCGATCCTGTCGCGTTGAAGCGTGCTCGCAACACCGAGGCTGCTCGTAAGTCTCGTGCTCGCAAGCTCGAACGCCAGGATGAGATGGAGCGACGCATCCGTGAACTCGAGAAGTCTCTGGAAGAAGCTCAGCAGCGCGAACAGTACTGGAAGGCCCTTGCCCAGAACAGGGGTTGAACGATGATCGATAGCTTATCTTGAAGACATGCTGCGTTTGTGATATCTTGTTTGTTTCTTTGTTTGCTGTTTTCTCTACCTTGGCTTCTAAAATTGGGACGTGCAAAATGGGATTTGTGGTGGCGGGGGCTCGAGCCCCTCGTCAACCGAATGCCAGAAGTACCAGTCAGTCTCCGGGATGGTTACCTGACGATGACGCTTCTGGCAGGATAAAAGTTTTCTTTACTTAATGCCTTGAATGGTGGGCAATTGAAACACCATCTTGTTTCTGCCTTTTCGGGTACTCTCCGTCTGGCTTTCTTACAGTTATCCTGATCCTCATCTAGGGTGTCTGTTTCTGTTTCTTCATGTTTCTTTTACTGATGGTCGGTTCTGATGTCTCCTGTCAAGCAGGATTGACTCGTGGCCAATTAATACTTTTCCTTTTCTCTTGCCCTGTCAGTCGCTCACCTCCCGTGGTTGCGGGTTTTGTCGACGTGGCTTTCTGTTTCAACATGTCCTGCGTTTTTACCAGAGACTGTCTTTACTAAATTGAATTCAACTATGTCACTCTCTACTCTTTTTTCAGCGTAGCATGCATCTCGCCCGTAGCAGGTCACCTCCATCTTCACCGTGCGAACATCTTCGCCGTCACTACTCCGTGAGGAGTACCAATACCGAAAGTGACTGAATTTTCTGTCTACGGATTGTAAAATCTCTTAAAGTTACGGGGGATGGAAGATTTATGATTTAAACCTGCTCGACTCAGCTCAGACTTGCCTTTTTAACCCGTCATCGACCCAGAACCTCTTGATTCTCGGGAACCTGCCATCGCCGCGTCATCCATACCCTGACATACCACAAGGAACACAGTGGCACCAATACCCGGTCTACCAATCTCGTCCCTCATAAACACGCCCAACCAAATATATAATCCAGTCCCACAGCGGGAGGATTACATCTCGGAATGAGTGGCTTGCGATGAAACGAGCGGTAGAGAGGGAGAGCCTGCTCTATATGGTAGATTGCACGACAAGGGGATGGTGGACAATGAGAGGGTGAGAGAATGGGACAGAAGAGGCGGTCTCGGAAGTATCTGATCAGTGTTTTGTCATCACAGCTGGCCAATTCATGCGGCAGGGATTACATCGCGTTGGTAAATGGTGTGGTCGAGGATAGGACTGTTGTATTCAGCTCAGTGCATCGGTTCCCTTGGTTCTACCCTTTTCCATCTTTGCTGTCCTGGAGCCGAATTGGATTGCTCGTTTCTTTTCCCGAGCGACGGTTGCCATGCCCAGCTTGAGGGCCAGGAGGCGGAGCGCTTTCTTCTCCGGGTCGATGCCGGTGTAATCCACACTGGTGGTTTCTGATGGGTCTGGCACCCCGAAGCCACATTTCTCCCATACGGGGGCTTCGAGCACGTAAGAGACGAAGTCTTCGTCTAAGAACGGGTATCGCGCCTCCCGACCCGAGTTTGAGAGGATCCGATCGTCGCGGCCGAGATTTCGCTTGCCGAGACGACTCACGTCCAGGTGGATCTCGTCAATGAGACCTCTAAAACCGTTGCGGGCGAACGCTACTCCGTGCCGCGCGTAGCCCGCAAACAGTTCATCTGCTCCCAGGCCGGAGAGAAGCACTCTCGCTGGGCTTGTGTACTGGGTCGGTTCACACGAGGGATCCCGACTATTTAGCGCCGTGCCTCGCGCGCGAGAAGCAAAGTATAGCGCGCACGCGATGGACAGGTCCATCTCTGTATTGTGAGGCCTCATCAAGCGCTTCACCATATCCCGGTGTGCGACAGTCTCAGTGTAGGGTATGTCTATCGCGACGAAGCGCCAGTTGCGGTCTGGGCAGACTCTCTGGAGTTCTGCGAATGCTGCGCGCCCCGTAATGCGATCCGGACAACTTTCGTAGACTGATGGTGTGCCACCTTCCTTTCCAGCAGCTGCGGCGGCGACTCGCGGGTTCTCGAAAGCAACGTTGAGAAGATCAATCGTCTCATTTTTGGGAAGTATGTCATGGGACAGTCTGGCAAGTAGAGTGCAATCAAGGCCACCAGAGAACAAAACGGCGACTTTCACATCACTTATAGTAATGGATGGTGGTTCGGGTACATTTTGAATCCTAAGGTGTAAAGATTGACGAAGTTTTCGCTCAAGCTCTTGGATGGGGCAAGAGTCGACCGTCAATGACGGGGGCGTCCCATTCGGAATAGATTCGTTCATGTGTGATATTGGACTTTTCTGTCCTTTCTGTCAGCGATTGTGTTGAGCGAGGAGGAGAAAGCGTGTATACCAGGCAGCTGGTAGTTGCATCTTTATGTTCCCAGCGAAGAGTTTTGATGGCGTCAGGATTGAATTTAATGGCACCTGATACAAGAGCATTCTGCAGCACGTCTTGTCCAAAGTCAATAAAATGCACGCCATCTGTGTCAACTTCCTCGAAATGTGATGACGAGGAACTATCGCAGACACTGCAAATTCTCAGATTTCCAGATTCATCTAGACCTTGCAACAAGGACCGTCGCCCAAGGCAGTCCCTACTGAAATATAGCCCCGAGTTCACCGCATCATAGAAAACAAAGGAAAAGGGCCCTGTAATGTTACTTATGACACCCGCAATTTTCTGTACGGGATCTTCATGATCAACAGCGTCCAAGGACGAACGGGTAGCGCGCAAGAACGACTGAAAAATGAACTCAGTATCATTATCTTGGATAGGTTCGCCAGCTATCTTCCAGGCCTCGCCATTCCAGCAGAGCACTGATTGCGTAGACGAATCCACGAGTGGTTGAGCATAGACATGATCTCCTCTCAATGAAAGCACCGTGGAGATGAATGTGAGAGTGACAGTCACCTTTGTCTGGCCCGTATGGCTCAAAGACCATTCCTGTTGTCTCGTATGTACTTGGTAGCTGTCGGGCCCCCGTTTGCGCAGTAGATTGCAAGTCTCCTCATTTGGGAGCACTGACCCATTAGTGCTCAATGAGAAATAAATGCCACACATTGCAGCACAGTGGCTGCAAATACAATGGATGAGGCGATCAGGGGACCAGAAAAGATAGATTGAAGAAAGTCAACCTCGGTGTTATGTTTCCTCGGTGGCCGGATCTCGGGGCAACGATGATCCACATAGCTTCGTTGGTGGGCGGTGATAACCAAATACTCCAGGCTGCCTAACATGGGTCCGACCGACGTTCTTTCATGCCCTCTCTTGGGTTAAATAGACATTTGCTATCTACTTTGAAATATCCCATTGTTTGTTGAATGATTTTTCCTTGCTGCTTTTGAGCTTGACCGCTGTGTGCTGGATATTCCTCATAATGATCCGTGACCTCGTCTGAATCTCCGTCCTTCCCCACCGAGCTTCTATATTATTTGACCGTCAGCGTGCATGCAGATTGCTTATGTCTGAACAAGCGATTTCCACGACCCCGGCTCCGGACGGACGACCGGACCCTCAGTTGGATATTCATGACGATCAAATAGAATCGAATCAACAGCAAACGAAATCCTCAGGTACCGTATCATCGGTGTCGGCGCATAATGACCGCTCAGCAACACACGAAGATCCACATCAGGGCGACCAGTTGCGTGAAATGAAAGAGATACATCAAGATGGATCACCAACCTCTGCATTTGACTCGCCGAACATGACGTCTGAGAAATCCGCTCCGGATTCCTCAGAATCAATACCCGAACCCCAGGGGATGTTGTCAGCGCGTATGGAAGGATTGTCGGTCTTGACGAATACAACAGAAACCGGCTCATTAGTAGACATCGATATGCCCCCGCCTCCCCCAGAAAAAGACGAATCCTATCTTAGTACGAAATCCCAGCTTGCACCGCCCCTGCAGACGTCCGTGAATGCGACTTCTGAATTGAGCGAGAAAGAGCTACCGGATGTACCAGGTGACGGAGAGAAGGAAGATAAACAGGACGCTGGCATGGAAGGTGCTCGAGGGGATGACTCTGAATCCGAGATTCAGAGCATCATGGGTCAGTTTCAGGACCCTGAACGGAGGGGCAGCCAGGAGCAGTTGATGTCGCCTCGTTTGGAGCTGGCTGAGCAATTCCTTGGAGGCCAGGGTCATTTTCCGCCGCGTCATTCGAGTCTTTCAAAGTCAGCAGAGGGAGGTCCTCAGGTGAATGCAGGGACACCACCCTCGGCTGCCGAGAGGCCACCTGCTCCTATTTCGAAGAGCGCACGTAGAGCTTCCGATGATCATTCAGCAGTGACTCGACGATCTTCTACGTCGACTGTTCCTCCACCGCCGCCAGAACCTGAGCCCGATCAACCGTTCGATTTCCATCGTTTTCTGGAACAGCTCAGGCACCGCACTGCAGATCCTGTGGCCAAGTTTCTCCGCTCATTCCTTAATGAGTTTGGCAAGAGACAGTGGATGGTACATGAGCAAGTGAAGATCATTAGCGACTTCTTGACCTTCATTACTAATAAGATGGCCATGTGTGAGGTCTGGAGGGATGTTTCCGACAGCGAATTCGATAACGCTAAAGAGGGTATGGAGAAGCTGGTCATGAATCGATTGTATTCGCAGACCTTCTCACCTGCTATACCGGCTCCTCCCTCAATCCCAAGAAGTGCAAGCAGGAGCAGACGAAGGGAAATGGAACGACTTCATGGGCCATGGAGGCGTGGTCAGCACCAGGAAGATGTCGAACGCGATGATGTATTGGCGCAGAAGATGCGGATCTACGGTTGGGTGAAAGAGCAGCATCTTGACATACCGCCTGTGGGCGCTCACGGCCGTCGGTTTTTGAACCTAGCACAGCAAGGTAAGTCTCGATATCCGTGTATGCTGGGACTGTATCTGACACTGAACGTAGAGCTTCTGAAGATTAACGGCTACCGTGCACCACGTGATAAAGTTATTTGCATATTGAATTGTTGCAAAGTTATCTTCGGTGAGGCAGCAGAATGAGTAGCCCCTGAGCATGTAAGGTACAGCGCTGATGCCGATTTCTCTTGCAGGGCTGCTAAAAAATTCAAAACAAGCCGACACATCAGCAGATTCATTCGTTCCCCTTCTAATCTACGTCGTGCTACAAGCTCGCCCTGAGCATCTGGTTTCCAATATCCAGTACATTCTTCGCTTCCGAAATCAAGATAAGTTAGGAGGAGAAGCGGGGTACTACCTATCTTCACTGGTATGCCAATCAAACATTATTTGCCCTGATAATGTAGGAAACGTAGCTGATTTGATAAACAGTCAGGTGCTATTCAATTTATCGAGACCCTGGATCGCACAAGCCTGACAGTGAGTGATGAGGAGTTTGAGCGTAACGTCGAGGCTGCCGTGTCTGCTATTGCCGAGCAGAATCGCGAGTCCGAGTCTTTCGAGCCGAAGAGAGCAGAGCGTCCTACGGCGGAAGGCTCTCAAGCTCTATCGCGGGTTTCAACCGATACACAAAGACCTGCGGCGCGGAGAGAGGCGCCGCAAACGAGTGACGAGGAAAGCGCACCAGTAGCAGGACTATTGCGGACTATTCAGAAACCACTATCAACAATCGGAAGGATCTTTTCGGACGAGCCAGATTCGCCACACGAGCGGCCAATACAGCCTGCCGGCACCCCGCAGCCGGGGGCACCACCGCGACTGTCCCCTAATGTATATCAGCCGCCCCGTAATAGTAGTGAGGGGCCCCGTAACGCGGCACAGCCGCAGTTGGCCAGGGTACTGGATGCGGAAGATGCTGCTGCACGTCAAGCTAGCGCCGAGGAAGCGGAGGCGCGAAGGATTCAGCGGGCTGAACACAATAACGTGGTGGAGACACTGTCGAACATGTTTCCGAATCTTGATCGCGACGTCATTGACGATGTGGTCAAGATGAAAGAAGGAAGGTTGGTTTTTCTATGATATGACGCAGAGAAGCATTGCTGACGCTGTTGCTGCAGGGTTGGTCTGGCCGTCGACGCATGCCTCGCTCTGAGTGCGGAGTAGGAGAGTACTACTGCTAGTAGGATATTAGAAAGCCTGCATGAATTTTGAGGCTGTCATACTATTGCTTTGATAGCCTCACGTTACAGTATGTCGCCTATCTGGTAGCCATTCAGCTCTTCTAGCCGAGCATGTGTTTATATTACTCGGGGCACCTATGACCTCCCGGGTGCCGTCTCTAATGCATCGACCGAATGATACTTGTGGTCATCTGTGGGCTATGTCGCAGTAAATTCCTCCCAATACTTAACCGAGCCGAGTCGTCATATAAGTATAAAGGTAGTACTATATGTTGTAGATTATATCACGTGATTTGTTATTGATCGGTCGTGTTCCCGTCAACTGCGACATTGACCACGGCTCAGCCCATCAAAGTAGTGGCGAATCAGAGCGCTCCAAAAGCACCTCGCTTGCTGCTAGCGGCGTTTGGCATTCCCCACCAAAACATATATAAGTCTCGTCGAACCCCCTTCCTTTTACCTTTTTTCTTCTTTCTTTTCTTCATACTTACCTTGTTTGGGTGGCTGCGATCAAGAAGGCGGTCCACCACGGATTGGTCCCTGCATTGCACAGCGCGGCGGAACAATCCGTTCAACGGCCTTCGGGTCATTGACAGGCGTATTCTTTGGCACTTTCCACCTCGTGGATATCATACTTTCCTTTTCATCAGTTCTTGAGCCAGTGGCTCGAGGTTGGAGAAGAGGTCTGATATGGTGCGTCTTATGGACTACCATGTAATGTAACGTAGTTTTCGGGCTGTATACTAGTCGGTTGTCTTTTGCAGGAGTATGGTTTGCCCGTCACAAAAGGTTTCCACGCCGTTGGTTACACATGTCTACGCTGGATGCTATATGACCAATAAAAGCGCCATAGTCCGTAACACAAAGAAGAATTCTGTTTGAGATGGTAAACCTCTGACCTCGCGGCTTGTCTTTCTGCTTTGGAAAACAGACTGCGCCACAGCGTACAGTGGCGTGTGAGTAGAACGCCTCAGCCACAGCAATGTACAGAGTGACGTTGTCGCCACAGCTGTCAGTATCCACCACGGAATACATAAACACATCATTGTCAGCTGTTTACGAAGGTCATCATCACACGTACAGGCTACAATCATCTAAACTACTATTTCTTCCTGTTTGTGACTACCTATACCGGAAGCAATCTCCACAAACCCAAGATGCCTCACCCAAATCCTCCCTCTAATGAAGGCAAGGAGCCATCGACTGGGAATCGACCTACTGGCTCTGCCGGCTATGCATCATTAGAAGCGCTATCCACAAGAGAAGGCAACGCCAGCGGACGAGTCTTTGGTACAGGCACCGGCGGCACGGTCACATCGCCGGAGTATTCGTCCGCCCAGAACTCGGATGTCCTGCAGAACGCGGAGAGCGATCGTGCAATGAGCAAGGAGGAGGCCGATAGGATGTACGAGCAGCGTATGGAAGAGGAATATGCGAAGAGAGAGGGTGGTGCTTGAACCATATGGCGATGCTGACACTGCAAAGTTAATTAAGAATCTCTTCTTCATGTATTTATAGTTCCCTGAATCAGAATGCATATTATAGATGAGTCGTTCGCGTGCTAAAATGATCCTTATGGTCTCGGCAGAGCGTGGCGTTTGAGTCGTAGCTTGTAGGTAGGAACTGTGAAGGTTGACACTGCAAGGAAAAAAGAAAAGAGCGAAGTCAGTCCGTTTCGAACGGACGTACTCGCGATATTCCAGCAAGATGGCTGACACTCCTACCTCCAAACGAGGTCTGTAAGTGTGGAAAAAAAACTGGTAGCTTCTCTTTGATTGAGCGTGTCATCCTTAGTGCAGGGGCCATGCTAATCTTCTCTGTATCGTTTCAAATTGACCAAATGCCCGAAGGCACTTGAGAGGAAATTGAAATGGTTTATATGCCTTTCAGGAGGAGGGATTCCGGCGGCATGATTGGTCGGTAAGCGAGAGTGTGAGGAACACCAAAACTCACCTTACATTCTGTGGCCCTAGGATAGCGACGCAACGAGATTAAGGAACGAGCCATTTCAAGGTGAACCCTGTAACAATTATGAGGCTATGTGGTCCCAGAAAATTGGAGGTATATATCACTTGATCTCAGGCTCCGACGACGTGGGGAGCCATGTTCGAGCACAATATGAGCGGGATCCTCCAAGCCCCAAAAAGGAAACAAAGGCAGCGAAAGGAGAAACACAGGCAAATGTCAACTGATCCACGAGATCTTTTCAGTATTCACCCCCAGATGTGCCTGGTGTCTGGTGACAACTCACGAATGTGATTAAGCGCCCTATCAAGGAGCTGAAGGGATTTTCAGGGGTACCAAAGTTGAGAATCTAGTTTGAAGTTGAACTTTGCTTAAATGGGGCCTCGTATTCCACTATTTTTCCTTGCGATGTGATTGGTGCGGGAGGTCCTGACAAGCAAATTCGTATTTAGGGTTCAGATCAATTCGTCCTAAAGTTCCCGTCTATACGAGCCTCAAGATCCATTTTGGGATCTGATCATCCATGCGAAGCCTTTCTTTCAGGGCCTCTAGCCGTTCATTTGCTGCCGCTCCCACCTTCAGGACTCCAATTCTCAAACAGACTCAGGGTTTGACAACTACGATTCCAGATTGGGATGTCGGTTCGACTCCGTAGGAGCCATCTTAGACTCTTTTTCTCCATCGATAGTTACGCGAAGGCCTACAATGACCGTCCTAGTGTGCGATGATAGGCTCTTCGTTGGGAGCCCTTCGTCTGAGAGGCCAGAAGAAGCAATTCATTTGCGTGGGGCTTGAAAATCCGTTTCCAGCCGCATTCGATTCTAATAATATAAGTTGAACGGCCATGGGTAGTATAAAGTCTCTTGTCGCCAGTAGATGAGGCTGAATCGACGTGTGCAAACTTGAGTATTCTTCACGTTTCCTCCAAACTCCTTTCATTTAAGGTTATTGTCGTCTTCCAGAGGACATATTCCTGTAGTCCGTTTCAATACAAATCGATCACACACTGTCCTTACCTTCCGCACGACAGTCCTTTCGGCTTTCACCATGCAGTACAAGACCCTTTCTTTGCTCCTTCTGACTGCCACTGCCCTGGCTGCACCAGAGGCCAGGCCCGAGGCGGACCCTGAAGCTGCTCCTGAAGCTTCCCCAGAAGATTTTGGCAAGAGGCAGTATGACTACGCGAGCCTCATGAACGAGCTGAACAGCTTGTCAGTATATCCCCAGAAGCAAGTAAGCTGAACGATACTAACCGATCTTGCGGCAACAGGACTGACTTCTTGACCAACACCGAGTACCAGCAATACTTGACCAACACCGACTGGGAGCAATACTTGACCAACACCGACTTTGGCGGTTTTCCAACCAATACCGCCGTTGGCAACGCTCCTACACACACCAATACCGCCGTTGGCAACGCTCCTACAAAAACCAATACCGGCGGCGTCCCGACTGACCTGGGAGGTCTCGGCTCCTTCTCCATGCCAACCGCCCCCGCCCTCACCTACGACGGCATGCCTCCTCCGTCCATTGCCTCTGTGCTCATCACTGCTGTTCCTTCCTCATACATGTCTGAGCTGGCCAATCCCAGCGTTCGCTCATCCCTTATCAACGATATCCAACACGGTCACTACCCTTCGTGGTACAGCGCTCTGCCTAACAGTGTCAAGCAGTGGATCTCGACCAACTATGCTTCCATGACTGCTGCGGCAGCAACGGCCACCGCCAAATCGGGCTCTGGGTCTGGATCCAACGGATCTGGTTCTCAGAGCTCTGCGTCGAGCGCCAGCTCGCAAGGCGCTGCTCCTGCTGCCACTGGTTCCATTGCGGCTAGCATTGTGGGTGCTGCCGGTATCCTTGGTCTTGCCCTCGCCCTGTAGGTTGATCAACGTACAGAGTTGACTGGGTGACAATACTTCTGCTTCGTTATCGATGATATTGAACTGGCTGGAATGTTCAGTGATAATTATGATGTTTAATTCTTGAAAATAATACCTTAATGTCAGATTAACCGTTGCGACGGACTACCACGAAAACCATCGGCGTTCTGCCATCATTCCTGTGACAATCTTACTTAAACGCAATTGTAATCCTTCATTATCGGCGGCAATGGCTGCCACAGCTTGGACTGGAGGCAAGGGCAGCCCTAGCATTAGTTCGTACTCTCTTCCAATCATAAGGACTGCAATATCCTAACTCTCAAGGTTGATCGGGACCGCTGCCACTAGAGATGAAGGGTGGTCCTCGAGAAAGCATCTGCCTGCAGCCTGAAAATCATCGAGACACAATCAGCCAGTCCTAGACGCTGCAAAGGTCATCTTCTTGGGTCATTCGCCAATGAGACTTTGCGGATTGTCATAACACAGACCACCAGCTGCGGGGGATACGGAGTTACAAAGTTGCGTTCCAGATCTTCGAATGCTGACAATTACGGATGCGTTGATTGGCGGATCGCCACGAAGCTAGAACCACCTTGATGTATCAGCAAGAGAAGCTACACAAAATTTGAATACCTTATAAGAGTCTAGGGATATTTGAGACTGGACGACAAATACAAGGTGTAAGCATCGCTTCTTAACGGGCGTCAAGCATATTAGTCCTCTGCTGTGACTTGTGGTTATCAATTCATCTCACTGTCAACTCGCGTCTGTCTGTCTGTCTGCAAAGGCCTAGAATCGCCTGCTGACTCTGACGTCAGTGCCACTGCTTGCCTGCACTACTCTATATTTCTCTTCTTCCTATTTTGGTCCTTTTGGGGGTTCAGACCCTCGAACCCATTTCCAGGTCGAGCTCATAAATCATCTCCTGAAATGGCGTTTTTATTTCTTAAACAAAAGCTTTTTCCGACTAAAGGAAAACAACGCCGAGCAGATACATATGGTTCGTTGAACGCGGCTATTTACCGAAGTATACACAACGCTAACCAGACAACAGGCAAGCCTCTTTTATCAGCGAGTGATTCCGACACTCTAGGTAGCGATGCGGACCAAGACCTCGAAGCTCAAAGATCCTATCGTACCTTCCACGCATCTCGACCTGACTCCGACTCCGTTTCATCAAGTTCCTCTGCTCCCCGATCACGCATCAACCCACGCATCATTTCGGATGCCATCCTGGGTCTATCCGATGGCCTCACTGTCCCCTTTGCGCTGAGTGCTGGTCTCTCTGCGCTGGGAAATACCAAGGTCGTCGTGCTGGGTGGGCTTGCGGAGCTGGCAGCTGGTGCCATCTCCATGGGTTTGGGTGGATACGTCGGGGCCAAGAGTGAAGCGTACGTTTCCCCGCCCACGTCCTTGTTGTAATATGGCTGTGGACTAACAGCATACAGAGAGTCGTATCAAGCAACTGTCCGCGAGACAAAAGAGTTGATTGAGACTTCCTCTGACGAGACCAGCACCATCGTCCGCGATACATTCTCCGCTTACGGTCTACCGGAAGCCGCCATCTCGCAGATCAACGCATCGCTGCATGCATCGCACGATCGTCTACTTGACTTTCTCATCTCGTTCCATCACAAGGAGAGCCAGCCAGATTGCAACCAGGCTTGGATCTCAGCCATCACGCTCGCCCTGGGGTACTTCGTTGGAGGCTTCATCCCGCTCATACCCTACTTCATGGTCGACCAGGTCATCGTGGCTCTGTACTGGAGTATCGGCGTCATGGCTGTTACGCTGCTTGCGTTTGGGTACATCAAAACCTGTGTCGTTCGGGGATGGAGCGGTAGGGACAACATCATTGCGGGTATCAAGGGTGGCGTGCAGATGTGCTTTGTTGGAGGCGTAGCGGCTGGTGCTGCTATTGCGCTTGTGCGGTTGATCGACCATGGTTCTACTTGACTTCATGATACCACAGACTCTGATTTTGTTATACATCAAAAGTCCAGGGACTTATTATAGACCGAGCGCGGCGTTTGGGACAGGGACAGGGAATGACACTTAATTTTATGATGACATGTACAATACTTAACTCTATACAACTTTCCTCAAATCACAAACACACCTAGGCCCGGGTATCTTCGACATTACTTCTACTAGCCGCAAACCTATCACCCGCTCAAAGCCTTCTCAACCAACCCCTTCGCCCTCTCCGACATCTCAATCTCCAACGCCAACTCATGCCCCCGCTCCGACATCTTCCCCCACGTCTTTCTCAGAATCCCCAGAATCTTCTCCTCATCATGTCCCCTCTCAAACTCCTCAAACTGGTCATCCAAGAACACAAGACAAGCCACATCCTCCAGCACCTGCGTCTCCTCATCCTTCCGCAGATCCTCCTTCCGCACCAACGCCGCCACCCTCCCCGCCTCGGCCTCCGAGAACCCCGCCTCCAGACAGATTCGCTCCGCGAGCTCGGCCTGCCGTTTCGCGAGGTACGTCCGCCAGGCATAGTAGCCTGCTTTTGTGGCGGGGTACGAGTCGCGGGGCACCTCCCAGCGTTTGAGATGCTGGGCGCGGATAGCGAGTTGGAGGGGCGCGGAGGGATTGGCGGTGCGTTTGTGCAGGTAGGCGGTCATTTTGTTGGCGTAGTGGAGCTCGTAGGGGACTGTGCCATTGTTGGCGACGGTGATGCGGCGGGCATCTTGGGCGTGGGCTTCGTCGATGAGTGCGAGGGCTTTGGTGAGTTTGTCGCTGGGGGTGGTGGTTGTCATGGTTGAAGTTTTGCGATTGTTGGTCGCGATGATGGTTTCGCCGGTATTGGTATGTGTTGACAGAGATTGAAGGAAGGTAGGAGATTCCCCAAGTAAGCACATTGCAATACCTAGTGTTGTAGATAATCGGGACCTTGGGATTGGTCCTCCTCTCCGCCCCGCTTGATAACACATTAATCGATCTTGCCCCGCTGAGGGGTGACAGCTGGAGGGTGAGACCTTAAGACGACTATACTAAAGAGAGGCTTCAGGCAAAACCGTTCATATGCATTCATCTAGATATTGTATCACATTGGCGGCATCCATGTGCCAGCGGAATCTCCCTAGCTATTTGTCCCTAGACAGGAAAAGACGAAAAAGAATACACAACCTCCCCCGGGTACTTCAAGAGAGAAAAAGAGAAGTGTACCGCCATATCACCAGCATGATTGATGTGCCTTGACCAAAAAGTCATCCACCGGGGCGACGGAAAAGCACAATTCAACAACAATTGACCCATCGAAGATCCAGCAGAAAAGCTGAAACACAAATGAAAAAGGTAATGAAATGAGAACATTCAAAAGCGGCAAGAGCATCCGTTTCCGCAGCTGATTATTGCTCCCCACCGAACGCCGTCCCATTGTGTAAGCCGGGTATATCCAGCACCGTAATGCAAAGAAAAAAAAAAAGAACAAAATGTACGGAGAAGTAATAAATGGGTCCAGGACAAGGTCATTGGCCTGTTATCCGAGCACAGCGATATCTCTCTATCGCATGCATATTCATGCATATGCCACGGATAGTCAATGCCTCGCCTCCTGGTCAGGAACATCTCGAAGCCTTATTCACGAAGAGGAACATTAAATAGAAAATTGCTTTTCATGCCGTAGATCTTAAGGCCGTTCGGTTACCTCGCTCCAATGCCAAACATACCGACGCCGTAGCTACCGCCTCTATCGGGCAGCGGAGTCGAAACCTTTGAAACATGCTCCTTTAGGAAAACAAGAACGATCAGTCGTGTCCACGACCCATCCCAAATGGCATGTGATCTTACCTTCTTTCGTTTCTTCTTTCCAATTCCTTCACTGTTGGAGTAGAATGCGGCGTCATCATCGTCATCGGCGTAGCCTTCGCCATACCCGACGAAGCTGTTGTCGTCATAATGCCTCTTGCGCCCGCGACTAGGGCGAGCGCGTTCCGGCTCAGTAGGAAGAGGTGTTTCATTCGCTTGGCTAGGCGATCGGGCAGTATTAGGAAGTGTAGCTGCTTTCTTTCCGTCTCCATGGCCCACATGTTTCGATGGCTTCTCGTGACCCAAGACGTCCTCCCAGTATTCGTTGTTTGGAACTGTACCCGGCTCCATCTGCATCGCCTTCATCTGAAGGTTATGCAATGCGGAATCAATGTCGGCGACCTTGATTTCCTTTCCATAAACCTTCTGGTTCTGCCATTCCTCCTCGGGCCACATGGTCAGATGTCGGAGCCCGCCAGGAGCAGAGGGGTCGTGCTTGACGGGTTTGTTTCTCCCTGCGAGCCCCAACCCCTTCAGCTTGCCCTCATAAGACTTCCTGAGCCTGTTGATCTTCTCCCCCGTGACAGGATCCATCCTTGCAACCGATTTCGCAACCGGACCTAGACCGTAAAGTGAGATGAGATCTAGCGCTGGGTCCGGACCGGTCGCAATATGGGCTGTAAATTGCATAGAGCACAGCGTTAACAAATCTCAGTTCAGTAAGATATGGAACATAGTGCATTGTGAAACGGCACGAATGGCCGTATAGAGAAGTCATCAGGGGTATCCTTACAGCTTTTGCAGAGATGGAATGTGGAAGAGAAATCCTGCTGCAGGGACTCTAGGCTCAGTGCATCGGATTTAGAAGAGGCGTTGCCGTCCTTGTCAACATCCATGGCATCTGTATCACTGCGTGTATGGCTTGCAAAATCGCGGACATCTATCCCTTGAGTTGGCCCTTCCAACTCCCGATCGTGATCGGTCCGTCTATGCTCTGACTGTTGTGTAGATGATGAAGGCAGGCCTGAGGCGGTAGTTGCGCCCGAGTCTGTTTGCATATGCTCAAATGATGTTCCCGCGTGCTCTGAATCCTCGACGGAAGTCGGTCCCATGAAGTGGCCGCTCACACTGCTGGCCGGAGTAGGAAAAGAATTCGTTGCACCTAGGGTCGGCTGTTGTGAGGTCTGTGTAGACATCGGAGCTGAGGAAGGAGGGGATGAAAGGTTCGCAGGTTGTGACGT